GGGGGGGTCAAAAATCGTCCAAAATCGCGTGACGTCATTTATGGACGGCCCATAACCACCGTGGCGGCTGCCCCACCGCTATCAGACAGTTCTGAGCCCTCAGGAGATTCGCTGGCGGTGAGACTCATTTAAGGAGACAGGAGACGGCACCAATAGCCGCGAGACTGCATTGCAAACCCTCGCGTCTCTGCGGGTTACATTTTAAACTGCAAAATGCTGACTCAATTTGTGTGTGCTTCGACATGTTCTGGTGAGATTTTTCTCTGCTTTGTACTTCATCATAACAGCCCGTGATTCTCAGCCATTTTATGCATCGTCGGCATTGGCACTGTGGTATATGGACCTGGCCTGGGCCTCCTCTAAGTGGACTCAGCCTAAACAAGGGATAACGGTGCACTGTTACGAGGGGTTGAATGGCGAAATACCACGAGCAACGATGAACGGATACATTATTAATCGAGGGATTATGTTTTATAAATATTTAATACACATGGCCATACGAGCAGTGGCAAGCGGTTAGCGAATTGCGCTAAGAACCCGACCACCATAGTTCAATTCCCGCTCACAACCAACATTTTTGACGAATATCTGATCCGGACCTGGGCCTTCCTCAAGGTCAACTCAGCCTTAAATGAGTACCTGGTGTGACGTGTGCGTGGTCCCGGCCAGCACCCCACTCCCTCGTGCGCCGTGCTGGCCTTCATCGGTGCTGCTCGCTCACAGCGCTTGCCCCAACAGTCGGTCAAGTCTCTACGGGGTGGGAGATCTTCATCTTCTTTGAGCAAGGGTCTACTCATACACGTGAACATTGACAAATGTGGTCTCGGTGAAAGCGAGACAAATTGTCGCGAGGAGTCGTAGGTGATGTAGGTTTGTGTTGGGTTGGATCGCGTACAAATAAATGTGTCGCTAAACCTGCCACTACCCGACACAGACGAACAGCCAGATTTGTCCGCCTGATGATGCTAGATGCAAGTACTGGCGAAACGTCGTACTCAGATTGAACATGTTGTGGCGTGGCTCTCCAACACACCGGTGTGCTGTACTAGTATACTACACTATACACTACATTATACACTACACTATACACTACACACTACACTACGCACTAGTGCTGTACTAGTGACGAATGGGCACGTTCTGTTTTCGTGACAAACCTTACTAGTTGGCTGTGTCGGGTGATGGCGGGTTTAACGACACGCTTATATTTACGCGATCTAACCCAAAATAACCTATATTGTGGATGATATTGGTCGCGAAAGCCTACAGCGTGTGAACAGGAGTCGTAGGGTTAATCCCCCTGCTAAGAAAACTTGGCAGCAGCCCTCCTCGAAAAAAAATGTCTTGAGGCTCAGCGAGACTTTTCTGGGCAACTTATCCGAGTAGTAACAACAACAATAAAAAATAAAAAAAGGAAAATGGCCTTGGCCGCTTCACGTTCGCTGTTTCAGAATCAGAATATTTGTCCATGCTGCAGGAGGAACCCCAGGAGCTATAAAGCTCCGTTTCGCAGATGTCCAGTGGGGTCACGAGGTCGGAACGTTGCAACACAAGATGCGAGATGACAAGTCTCTCGACTTTCAGTCTGCTGGCGTCTCATGTTAAAGTAAATTAGCTTTTATATTGACGCGATCTAACCCATAAAAACCTGTATTATGGATGATATTGGTCGCGAAAGCCTCCGTGTTAAACTAAATTAGCTCCAAATCAAGTTTCAATTAGTTTATTACGCATATCATAACATGTCTTATGGATAGCATGTACACATTTTTTGAGTAATAATAGTGAGACAAAGCTGGGGTTAGATTTGTTGGACGTGTGATAAGAACACACGAGACTTGAATGCCGCGTGTTTTATTACGAGGTACCAAGAGAGGTCGGGGAAGACAGCAAACGAAGCTACATTCGCATTTCTTTTTCGTTTTATCTCTCAAATGTTCTCATTGTGACAAAGCGTGAGCCCAGCACATTGCTCGCCGATCGCCATTGGCAGGGAGCAGCAACTCCGCGAGCAGCAACTCAAATTGGGCACGGCAGGACCCGTACCAAGTGGGAGGGCTGGGGGTTGTTGGATTTGCTATCCCAGCCAAGTTGGAGGGGGCACGTGTAGGGACGTGGGGGATTTATATGAGGAGAGAGAAGGGGGGGGGGGAGGTAGCTCACGGACTGAGGGAAGACCATGGGGCCGTGGGGGGAGGGGCGAGGGGGGGCATTCGCAATTGAAGCAATGGGATGCCACTGAGAGGAGCAAGGTGTTGAGTGAACATCACGGACAGAGCCGAGTGGATGGAAGGCCGCGGTCTCCGCCGTCTTTGAGGAAGGCCGCGGCTCATTGAGAGCGATTGTTATTTTGACGATTTGAAACGCTTTTCATTTACCAGGTAAAGCCTACTGAGCTATTTAGCTATTTTTTCAGAAGCGCACCTGGCCACAAATGATAGCTCAACAAAGTGGCGTGTCGTGTGGCAATTTATAGCAGCGAAACAACTCTAAACGCGTGACGTTGATTCTAAATGTGGAGGGGAAAAACCGGCGGACTCGGAGAAAAATCCACGCGACCACGGGGAAAGAGACACGCAAACTATAAATAAACAGGCGTCAGGGTCAGGGTCGAACCCGCGACCTCCTGTATTCCAGGCGACGGAGATAACATCGAGATTTCCATTCCAGATTCATTTTTCCATCCTGAGACGGGCTTCGTGCTGGTTTATAAACGCCGTCGCCGCACGGTGCCCTGTGAAAGGGTACGGGATTTGTCGCAGCCTAACTGAGTGTGGGCATATCGTAAAACTCGTAGTCGGAAGGTCAAGAGTTCAATCCTGGGTCAGAGGTCAACTCAGCCCCATCACTCCCGGGGGGGGGGGGGGCAATAAAGTAGTGCCCTACCGCTTTGTGGAGAGTCAACAACAGTGGTTGTGCTGTGGGGAGACTGGCTCCTGACAAGGGAATGTGGAATTTCAACCACTGGGCTCAGAGGACCGTCCCATGCTCTATGTATGTTGAACTTCTTTCGCACCGTACATAGCCAACCGTGCTCGTGGGAGCTGCGGAGAGTGCTCAATTGCACAGGGAGACACCGCAACTCGACTTCACATTCCTCTGCAATGGTTCTCACGATATTGCACAAGCGTGGCTTCAAATTACGGCCATACATATTTTTTTTTTAAACGTGTAAAATATATGATAAACCTAACGTGACGTTTAAAATAATTCCCACGTGTCTCAGGAAGAGAAAACTCGTATTCACTCGTGTTCACTGTGGCACCCTGCTCAATGTGGGGGGAGTTGGGGGGTGAGGGAGGGAATCACAGCAAGACAGTTTGATTGAAAACACTTTTCTCAAAGCAAAGGCTCTTGATGGCTGAAGAAGACAAAATTTACAATTTCCACGGCCAATGTTTGGGTTATTTTGTAAACAACGTCTGAAGCGTGTCTGGATTAATATATATCAGTTCTACGCAACGTGAATTGTGCAGTGTATTCATCGTGCAAACTGTTCATGGAAGTGAGAAGAATTGGGCAGGGGCCACGGACGAATGTCAGGGGAAATGGAGCGGCAGGAGCAGGTGCTGGACTGATTTTTGGCATCGCAGGGTCGCGGGAGGTGGCGGCCGCTTGTGGAGGGCTTCATCCAGCAGTGGATCGATCACGGCTGATGATTGTGATGACGATTCGCAATGACATTTTTGGAAACAACTCTTGAGGGATGGTGACTCGACAAAAACATCTCGTCAGCGTGGAAGAATAGGTCAAAACACCTCACCTATCCCGATTCCTATTCATAACCTTTTTTGATTTTGCCAGGTGAGGCCCACTGAGCTATATAGCTCTTTTTCAGAAGCGACTTGGCCACAAATGAAAGCTCAACTTAGTGGCTTATCAAGTTGAAATTTATAGTGGCCAAACATTCAAAACGCGTGGTGATGTTGATTCTAAATGTGAAAGGAAAAACCGGAGGACCCGGAGAAAAATCCGCGCGACCACAGCGAGAGAGACACTGAAATTAAGACGAGTGGAGCTGTGGAAAACTAAAACTATTAAACTTTGGTTTTATTTCACCAGATAATATATATTGCACTTCTTTCACACCGTACGTAGCCAACCGTAGTAATCGGAGGTGCGGGGGAAGGACAACAAACTAAGCACGGAAATCGGTTCTGAAGAACTTAGTTAAGTTAAAGCCCACTGAGCTACATAGCTCTCTTTCAGAAACGACCTGGTCACAAACCAAAGTTCAGCGAAGTGGCTTTTCAAGTGGAAATCTATATCAGGCAAATACTCGAAACGCATGTTTCTAAATGTGGAGGGAAAAACCAGAGGACCCAGAGAAAAATAAACGCGACCACAGGGAGAACATGCAAACTCCAAATATACAGCAGGCATCCTCAGGGTCGGGATCGAACCCACAAACCTCCTGCTTACCAGGCGATTTAGTTAACATCTCGCCACCGTAGCGCCCCCTCTAGTCGAGGCGCTTGCGCCAGCAGCGGCGTGAGTGAGCAACTGCATGGCTGCGCCCTTACCCTTTAACTTTCGTGTAACTTTTGTTTCTTGAGGAAATTGGAAATTCCATGAGAAAAGACGTAGTTGAAATGAAAATAACGTGGACACTCTGCTACTGACACAACCTGTGTGGAATTCAGGATGCAAGATCAGAAGTGACTGCTCAAATGACTATTGAGGGTGCTTCTCATCTCTATTGCGAGTCCTGCAACAAGTGGCAGAAACATCCACACTCCTACACGCAGGGACTGTTTCAGTCAGTGGCCAGTATCGACCAGTCGGTGTCCGGTATCAACAAACGTGCTCAGCATCGGTGGTGCTTTAAGGAGGGTGTCAGATTACGACGTGCGGCCAATTCTAATGAGATTCTTCATCGCACGTGACAAGGTACCAGGGTTGCCGGAGGAACTCAAACGTTAGAGGGTGAGCGGTCGATCTCGTTCGTAGAGATCATCCTTCGCCTCCTGCTCACTGCGCCTCCTCTCTGTTTGCCGCAGGTCCCTTCCCGGAGGACTTCTCAATCCTGGCCACGCTGAGGGCCCAGAAGGGCCTGCAGGCCTTCCTCCTGTCGGTCTACAACGAGCAGGGCGTCCAGCAGATCGGCGTGGAGGTGGGCCGCTCGCCTGTCTTCCTCTACGAGGACCACAACGGTCTCCCCCTCCCGGAGAGCTACCCCCTCTTCAAGGGACTCAACCTGGCCGACGGAAAGTGAGTCTGGGTCCTGACGCGGGCAAACTCACCACGGACGCGTTCGGGAGGCGCGGTGGATGATGGAACAAAAATAAAAAAAACAACCTCTGCAGTGTTTTGTTGCCCGCTCTTGCACGCCGGGCTAGATGTCTGAGGAGTTTCTGGCTTTACCCCACACTTTACCCCACCACACGTGACCTGTGATCTGCCGATTGACCAACTATTGCTTGCAGAGGCGGGCGTTCTTTGAGAAACTTGACCCGTTGTTAAAACCGAGAGTTAAACCTATCTACCACTGGATTTCAAGTCCGGTGTGCTAACCATTACACCGCAATGTTATCGGAACCCTGGTTTTAAGGCATCCAACTGGTGGCATCTCACTTAGGGTGTTTATCAGAATGGCCAGTGAGGCTCCGATTAGCATGGTTGGCTACGTACGGTGCGTGAAATAAGTTCAATGTACAGGGCAGTCCAGATGTCATGTGGACCCCCTATTAATTGACGCCAAACCTTTGTTTTCATTTGCATATTTATTTCTGTCTTAAACAAACCTCACTTAAAAAAACATTACGTTTTAGACAATTAAATGGGAGGGTCACAAGACATCTGTAGCACCCTGTACATACATAGGTGCATTCTCTCACAAATCTCACCAGAGTGTCTTGCTTTTCAAAGGGATATTTGGAGCGACATTCATGTCTGCTTCATGGATGTGAGCCAGTGGTAGAAAGTACCACGACGGGGGAGAGCATATGTACCATTATAACTTAATATGGAAGATTGGAAAGTTGGGCTCTGGATGACCAAAAAAAAATATGAGCAAAATGAAGGTGGATGCACAGCGCGTTTGCTAAACAATCGGAGCCGTCTGCCAGAGGGACAGAGCCGGATAGCACAGCGGAGCGTGGGAACCTCGGGCAGCTGTTGAAGGCGATCGGAGTGAACAGGACGAACTAACGAGGTGGACGAGTGCAGAGTGGCACCACGGTGGATAGGAAATGTTAACTGCCTCGCCTGGTATACAGGAGGTCGTGGGTTCAATCCCGACTCTGACGTCTGCTGCTGTATATTTGGAGTTTGTGTGTGTCTCTGTCTCATCATCATCACGGTGGATAGGAGATGTTAACTGCCTCGCCTGGTATACAGGAGGTTGAGGGTTCGATCCCGACCCTGACGCCTGCTGCTGTATATTTGGAGTTTGTGTGTGTCTCTGTCTCATCATCATCACGGTGGCTAGGAGATGTTAACTGCCTCGCCTGGTATACAGGAGGTTGAGGGTTCGATCCCGACCCTGACGCCTGCTGCTGTATATTTGGAGTTTGTGTCTCTCTCATCATCATCACGGTGGCTAGGAGACGTGAACTGCCTCGCCTGGTATACAGGAGGTCGTGGGTTCAATCCCGACCCTGACGCCTGCTGTATATTTGGAGTTTGTGTGTGTCTCTGTCTCATCATCATCACGGTGGCTAGGATATGTTAACTGCCTCGCCTGGTATACAGGAGGTCGTGGGTGCAATCCCGACTCTGACGTCTGCTGTATATTTTGGTTTGCATGTTTTCCCCGTGGTCACGTGGATTTTTCTCCGGGTCTTCCGGTTTTGCCTCCACATTTAGAAACACGCGTTTAGAGTATTGGCTGCTATAAATTTCCACACGAGAAGCCACTTTGTTGAGCTTTAATTTCTGGCCAGCTCGCTTATGAAAAGAGCTACATAGCTCAATGTGCCTTATCTGGTAAAATATAAAACATAGTTGAAATAATTTAGGGTGGAGCACTTTTTGGAAAGTGGGAATTTTGTTATAATAATCATAAGTAAAGTAGAAAAGTTTCCCACTGTGAGACAGAGAGAGAAAGAGAGAGGAACACGTGGATATTTTACAGCGACCGCAGGTTTGTGACATCGCTCAAACTGTTTAAGGAGGTGAGTGGTGGGGCTTGGGCACGAAGCGTCAGGGGCCATAATTGTCGGCGGCTGATTGGTCCAGAGTGGTGGCAGCCGAGAAGGGATGGAACACATCCAAGAGGATGTTACCCAAGAGAGGTGGGAGTGATGGCATCGGCTCGCGTGCAGGAGCTTGGAGGGTTGTTACGTTGTTAAGTCACGTGGCCAGAGGGCGAGACCTCGGCGGAGTCGTTCATTCGGCGGTCGTGGCCACGATGGTTGTAATTAGAGAGGATTACACTTGATTTGAAGCTTTCGTGACTGCAGGAATTACTCTTTGGTTCTTTCGGTAAAGTCACGTAGAAATGAAAGAAAATAAATAATGGAATACACGACGTTTCCATTGCAACACAAGCAACCGTCATCAGGTGTGACAGAATGCTACATTTGAAGTTAAGTCTGAGAAATGTCTCTCCCGCTGCCGTTTACTGTTTATTCAAACTTCCAATTTCTCCGACTCAACTTCAAATTTAACATTCTTTCACACCTGATGACGGTTGCTTGTGTTGCAATCGAAACGTCGTGTATTCCATTATTTATTTTCTTTTATTTATACTTGACTTTACCGAAAGAACCAAAGAGTAATTATAGAGTATATTTATTCAACTCTCTCCCGCGATTGTTGTACGTATTCCCGTTCATTGCTTTCAAACATTTCATTTTTGGAATGTGCCCATTGCAGTCAGTCCCCGGAAGCTAAGTTTAGTTGAGTCCGATTCGTGCTCGTGTTATGCATACGAATTAGACACTAACCTGAATCACACAATAGCCGAACTATATAGTCTAGAAGGGCTGATGAGTGATTAAATTAGTCCAGTAAGTGTGAAGTGATTATTTGGCCGAGGGTGGGGGGGGTATGGTGACTTTAGCAATTAAGAGCAGGTCGAGACGTATCAATTAACAATTCTAGCGAGATATACGGGGGGAAAAAAGCGCATGCAAGGTTATTGAAATGTAACTGGGCTAATGAAGTTTAATTGGTGTGGGAGTAATTGCACAGTGAAGAATGTTCATAATACGGAGGCGAAGTCGGTTGAGTTTAATTGGCAGCGAGTGAGGGAGGAGGAGGCACTGTAGTTGGATGTTCATGATGTGTGGAGGTGGACTTAATGAGGTGCAGAGGGGGAGGGGGTGTGGTGTTGCAGGGTGGTAGGAGAGTTGAGAGATTATACTGGTGGGAACCTCCTGGTTACACCAGCCCACAGGGGATTATTGTGTCCGTCCGTCGTGCAGGGAGGGGCTGGGTGGGGAGGGAGGGGCTGGGTGGGGGAGGGTGGGGAGGGGCTGGGTGGGGAGGGTGGGGAGGGTGGGGCTGGGTGGGGAGGGTGGGGCTGGTTGGGGAGGAGGTGGGGAGGGGCTGGGTGGGGAGGGTGGGGAGGGGCTGGGTGGGGAGGGGAGGGTAGGGAGGGGCTGGGTGCTTAGGGGAGGGTGGGGAGGGGCTGGGTGGGGAGGGTGGGGAGGGGCTGGGTGGGAAGTGGGAGGGGTGGGGCTGGGTGGGAAGTGGGAGGGGTGAGGCTGGGTGGCGAGGGGCTGGTCACCCCGTGGTGCCCTTATAAAACTCAACGTTTAACCTACTCACGCCGGCTTGTGCCCACCCTCACAGTCGGGCATATTTGCGGAATACACCACGCCGCCGTTGACCCTGGCCATTGACCGAGCAACCCAACGTTCCTACCAGCTCCCTCCGCAGGAGGAATGTGTTAAACTTGACCGAGGCTCTTCCAAAAAAGAACGTAGAGTCTGAGATGAGTTGAATTTCGAATCGTGTTTTATTGGGTTAATCTTTAATGCACAGGTGGGCACTCACAGTGATGTTTCTTCCCTGTTGCACTCATTTCTATTTTGGTTTTCATCCTCTCTAATTGCAAACCTTATTTTAGCAAGTAGAATAGTTTAAGTTTGTTCTTTTAATAGAGACATACCACTTGGACGGGCGACCACCACCCCACAATAACAAGTATTATAGGCGTTGCAGACAGTATGTTTGTTGAATTTCATTCGCACCCTACATATCCAACCGTACTAATCGGAGGTGCAGTGGGTGGCAGTGCAGCAAGTCCAACAGGTCCGCACGACCCCCCTCCCCCCCCCGCTCCACCTTCTTCACCCGTAGGACATCTTGCGATGCAGCTGCGTGTGCGTGCCACCGCATCTCAACTCGTTCCGCCTATTCCTCTGATCCAGCACGCCGACGCCGCCACTTGCCACGTCTTCTGGCAATGCGATTTTCATTGTTTTAACGCAACACCCAGAGACGCTGCACCGAGCGTCTCGTGATTCTGCTTCGGGAGGGTCCTGCCAAGTTTGTTCTGAGCAGGGGGCCGACAATTTGATGAATTCAAGGGCATTTCATTTTTTACATTTGCCAAATTTGGACCATGACGCCGGCACACGATCACCTACTCTTTGCGAATAACGTCACAGGATCTTTAACATCCACCGCAAAAAGGTGGCGCGGAGTAGTATATATTTTTGATGTAAATACGGCCGCAGTATTAATCGGGGCTGCTGCTAAAATGGAATCGTGAAACTCTGCGAGCCACCCCTTGTCCATATCACCCCGCATAATCAAACTATATACGGATTTGCGGAGTACTTTGACTGCACGCGTTCTCCAGGATACGAACTCTCTCTCTCCCCTGAAGGCCCTCTCGTCGTCGTGGCCAGCGGTAGACCTCGACACTGGCATCTAGCCCCTGAACGTATTGCTGCGGAGCATGGCATCATATGTGTTGCTATGTTAGATATTATTTAAAAAATAATTGCATGAACTTGAAAACATTTAATCCACTTTTTTTCATATATCCTCAATTATTGACAACTATGTAAATACAAATGAAATATAATGGCCCTAGCCGCTGCCGGACGCAGGAATAGAGTAGTGAGAGCCATGTCATCAGGAGGTGGTCAATTGAATCCCAATTTTCAAGGTCTCAATGTGGACCGGATGGGGGAGGGAGCCAATTAGATGCTAATTTTTGGGGGGGGGGGGGTCTCAGGGGGTGCTGACCGTCCCCATCGCCACCCCCTCCCCTCAGCTCCATCACTAGAGAGGCCTTGGTCCAGCAAGTGGCCTGGCAAAGGGCTGTCGGTACGCATTGTAACGCGAGACGGGGAGAGAGAGAGAGAACGCGAGAGACGACACATGCCGTTATTGTTTCATTCGGGCGTCTTTCTCGCGCAGCCGTGCGCGGCGAGCTGTAATTGAATACTGTATCTGATTTAAACGAGGGGCTCTCTTCCGCGTGACCTCACCGCTCCAGATGTTTGCCGTTTCGATCGCTCAAAAAAAAATCCACCGGCACACGAGCGCGCGGGAGGAGGAGTGGGGTGGGTGGCGCCAACGGGGAACTTTGCGTCAACCGCTACAGTGCTGGCGTGCGCCGCGTCAAGGAGACCGACGGTGGCCTCAATTGCCCGCTCTCTCGCCCCTCTGGGCCAGCGGTCGCGAGAAAGCGGAGGGCCACGGGGCGATTTGAAACCTCGACGCGACGCGGGCGGGCGGGCGGGCCTGGCTCCCACGTGGGCGCCGCGCCTTGTGACGCACGCGCGCACGCGGCGCCTGTCACGCGCTCGCTCGCCACCCCGCGCTCCACGCGCTCGGCGCGGGTGGGCGGTCAAACGTCGTGTTGTCCTTGGCCTCGCGCGCCTACGATTAGCAACGTGCGGCTTGCGGAGGGTGCGAAATGAGTTCGACTTGCATACGTGCGCATTCGACACGCACGCGTACAAATAAAAGTCACACGAAGTGACTTCACTGTCAAGTGAGTGTTGGCACGTTGGTGATGTCACTACCGTTATAGCGCGTGGATATTCTAAAGATACAAAATTGTCCCTTAATAAAAACTAATTAAAATCCGAAACTCATCTCTGATATGCTCCTCAAATGACCATTGGGGCATTGATGCTCATCTGCAGTTTTTCAGCCCTGAGCCAGTGGTGGAAATTCCACATTGCTGAGCCACCAAACACAGACAAAGATCCCCCGTGTAGCCTTAACAGACTGTTGGAGCAAGTGCGGTTAGCGAGCACCTACGAAGGCCGAAACGGTACACCAGGGGGTGAGTGGCCAGCACCACGCCCGGCCGCCTTTGTTTCCCCAGTAGGGATATTTACACACCGCAACAGGTACTCATTTGAGGTTGAGTCGACCTAGAGGAGGCCCAGGACCGCTTCAAATAACCTTCACTGGTGTTGGCCGTGAGCGGGAATTGTACTCGGGTGACGGGGTTCGTAGTGCAGCTCGCTGACCGCTACACCGCCGCTCGCTCTACCGCTGAGCCACCTGGCCCGGGTCCACAGACACAACGGGAGGGAATGATCGCGTACACGAGTGGAGTGTTGCCAACATGGGCTCGCCCTGACTCGGGAACATATTGTTTGCAACGAATGCGCGTATGGCCGAGAGCATGTCCAACGCGGAGGTGCCAGTGGTTACACGGCCATCATCCAGCGGTGGATTAATTATGGATGACAATAACGACGAATAGTTACATGATCTTTTGAGCTGCAAAGGATGACATAATGGCAGTTTCGTCCGGTTTACTGGAGGGGTAAGTCCCTCACAGCAATGCAACTTTATACTCATCTGTTCGTCATCTCGGGATCGTCTTTACGAGAGAGTCTGACGATGAGAACTAATCGAATTTGGAAAGTGTTAGAACAAACAAATATCTCCCATTATAGCCTTATATAGACAGTTGGGGCAAGTGCTGTCCGGGAGTATGTATTAAGGTCGGCACGGTTCAAGCGGGGGTGGTGTGGCTAGCACCGTGCCCAGCCGCCTTTGTCTCTCCAGTGCTCGTGCTTACACACCGCACAGGTTCTCATATTAACGTCCACTCGACATAGGAGAGGCCCAGGAGCGGGTTTTGATATCACGCGCCACTTCACGTTAGCCACTGCTGGGCAAATCGACCTCGACTAATCAACGTCCAGGAGCGCTGGGCGCCACTCGCCGTAAAACACGCAGACACGCGCAGCACCACACCAGAAGGCGCTGCACTGCCACGTACACCTCACTCACCAAGCTAGGCCCCACACTGCTCACGAGCCATCACATACAACAATCGCCCCACATCCTGGCGGTGCAATGTAACTCGTGAGTGTGTCGTACGCCAATTGGCATCCCTCGTGGCTGCAATTGCCGGGGCATCAGCCAGTCCAGCCCGTTGGCATTCTCCAGCCTTGGACACGTCGCGTAGTCGTCGCTTGTGTGGTGTGGCATTGCACTGCATAATTTAGAAGTTCGGTACAATTAAAATACAATTTGGTTTCACGTGGAGTCTAAATGTGACCGAGTGTTGACACTTATTCCGCAGACCAAATGCCATTTCATTCCACGATGCTACGTTGACTTATATAGCGTGCTGCACGATTCAGTATTGCATTGCACTACATTGCATCGCACTGCGCCACGCCACCCGGCATTGCGTTGCACCGCCACCGGCCCCGACCGCTGCTTCTGCCGCCGCGCCCCGTGACCCGCTTGCCCCGTGACCCGCGCCCCGTGACACCGTGACCCACTTGCCCCGTGACCCGCTTGCCCCGTGACCCGCTTGCCCGCCTCGTTACAGGTGGCACCGACTGGCGATCAGCGTCCACGGCAAGACCGTCACCGTGGTGCTCGACTGCAAGAAGAGGCTGACGCGGCCCCTGGAGCGGAGCAGCAATGCCGAGATCGACACGGGCGGCATCACCGTGTTCGGCACGCGCATCCTGGACGAGGAGGTGTTCGAGGTGAGCCGCTCGCGCTCTCTCGCTCGCCGGGGGACTGAGCCTGCGGTGTTGCGTGACGTGGAGGGGTGGCGAGGGGTGCGCACGGTCATTATTGCACATCACTCAAGTGCTCCTCGGTTGGAATAGCACCTTTGAAAGTAAAGCGTCGTCGCCGTTTCACGAACCTCCGGTGCTCCGCAGAACACACCACATGGTACGTCCACCCAGCGTCGTCTCCGAAATGTATTATATTTTATTGTTGTTATTATTATTGTTGCTGTTGTCTACTTTGGCCGACCTGTCCCCCTCGGGAGGAGAGGGACAGGGCAGGGCCCGGCTCTACCCCTCGCGGTTCTTTCATTGCGGCGGTGCGGGGCCGGCACCGAGGGCGCCACTCGTCACGGAGGTTGGCGGTGGGCTGGTATCCAGCGGCAGCCACCGGTCGATAGAGCGATCACGTGTGCTGGCACGTGCGCACTCGCCGTAGGCACGTGCACCCTCGGATCCACGGTGGAGGCCGAGGGGTCGCGCGGACGTCGTTGGCCGCAGCTCACCGGGTACGAGAGGGGGGGACTTCTCTTAGGCCCGGCAAGCAACGCTGCGTGTCGAAGCTTAGCAAGGCCGGTCCACCTGCTGTACCCGAAGGGGCGCTGACCACGCGGTCGACGTGGGGGTCGTGTCGACTGATGTGTGGCCAGGAGCTCCCTCAAACTGTTATTTGGTCATCATCGTGCAAGGAAATATCCACACACACAGAGTCGTCAACACTGCAGTGGTTTCTACAAAGACAAAGATCCCCCCTATAGCCTTAACAGACCGTGGCTGCTACACACACACACGCATTCAAATGTTCCCCATTTAGCCTTGAGGAAAAAAGTGCTGTCTGTGAGCACCTATTATGACTCGAGTAATGAGGAGGCCTTATTCTCCCCAGTGCCGATGCTTACGCGCCCAATCGATTGCTAAATTAAAGGTTGAGTTAACCTAGGGGAGACCCAGAACAGGTTCATATATCACCTGCTGTTGGGCACGGTCTGGAATTGAACTCAGGTCATTGAGGATGCAGACTGATCTGGGAGCCACTGTACCACCACTAGCAGAGTGTGGCGACTGCTACGCATCGTCCAGATGAGTAATCGGAATGCTCAATTGAATCGTAAATCAACTGCTGGATGTACATTTTCCCACACTGTGTGTGTCGGCCGCGATGATGGTTGGTTTGAGAACACACTTCGCCGCATCGGCCAGTGTGGATTGGTGAAGTGGGGGGAAGTGGGTGGTGGTTGGTGGGGGGTGGGGGTGGGGGTGGAGTTGGTGGGGGTGAGGGTCCCAGCACCATTGAGGATATCATTCGGCAACTGATGTGGCCGGGAATTGAACTCGGGTCCGCTGGACTCTGTGCCCGAGGTCGCAACCGGGTACCCGATACCCGGCCGGGTACGGGTAGCCGTTTGCGACCCTGGTGCGGCCAGGTATGGGTAGGCCGTGAGTCACTGGTGAGTAACCGTTTGTCACTCATTTCGGGTAGGGTACGGGTAGAGTACGGGTACCCGTACCCGGTCGGGTACGGGTACGGGTACCCATTTGCGACCCTGGTGCGGCCGGGTACGGGTACGGGTAAGGAATCAAAACCCGTTTGCGACCTCTGCTCTGTGCCCTAACCACTGCGCCACAACTCCATTCCTTCCCCCGCTCCACCCCCCATCTACTGCCACGCGTATATTTACGAGCTCCCCATTGCCCATACTCTGGTAATCGCATGGCCCTGGGCTGGCTCTTCACAATGTGGAGAACACTCTGCGGCTTGCGGTCGAGGCCCGTTCTCTTTCTTCGGCTTTGATGTTGCAGCGCTAACGCCGGGATTTCTCTCCGTCGTATTCCACTAGCACATTGCCTGTCCCCATAGGAGGTATGAAATTGGAACATTCTGGCCCCCACCGCCCACCCCACCGTCCCCCCCCCCCTTCTTGAATTTGGCTTCGAATTCCGCACGTGTTCAAAAAAGCTCTGGCAGTCGCTCGGCTTTCACGCCCCCCCCCCCCCGGCTTTGCGTCCGCGTTGGTGCCAGTGGCGGTGGGCGGATTGCGGGAGTTTGTGGATCGCGCGCGGAGAGTCGTCGCGCGTGGCTGTGAAGTGCCCAGTGGGATGTCAGAAGAGGCAGCGGGTTTGCTGGCACATTGTGTGCGGACTGTTGGGTGTCGTCTTCTCACTCGCCTGTGTGTGTGAGACGGTTTTTTAAATGTTATTTTACTGGGTGCTGTGGTTTCCTCCCACGTGCAAGGACATTCAAGAAATGGCTCTTACAAACAATTCAAAACAAGACCCTCCTTTGAAAAGTAACAAAATGTATACCTACGTTTTGGTGAAGTTTTACTGGATAAATGAAGGTCTATTTGTAGCGTAATGTGAATGCTGTAAACGGTCATCCTCATAGGGGCGACAGCGGTCCACACAGTTGTCCACACAGTTGTCCACACAGTTGGCTATCTTCTGCATCACTGCCACTGCGGTCGGTCAGTCTCAGACCTCAGGCAGGAGGACCACAATGCACTTCTTCAAGAAAACGCTGATGGGTTTTTTGTTGTTGTTGCAAAACGCGCAGAGGCTGTGTCCTTTCGGCACGTGTCGGTGTATTGTTCGAAAAGCTACATAAGCTTTTCCTCCTGCGAGAAACAGCCCATTGCCATGTCAAGAGGCTAATTGTGTTGCCGCTAATTTCTGCTGATTTATTTAAGTTTATGGCCTTGATCCCTCCGCCCCCCCCCCCCCAGTCGCGTTCACACGGTTCATGCAAACTAAAAACTAAGTTAAATAGTATTTTACCAGGTAAGGTCCACTGAGCTATAGTATAGCTCTTTTTCAGAAGCGACCTGGCCACAAATGACAGCTCAACGAAGCGGCTCATCGTCACGTGCAAATTAATTGCAGTTAGCCAAACACTCTAAAAGAGGGCGTTGGCAAACCAACATAACAAGAAGAGTTCGGTAAAAACTCAATGTTTCGAGAGCGCAACGCATGTGAGTCACGTGACGAAGCCGAGCCCTGCTGTAAACGCACGTGGATTGTAAATGTGGAGGGCAAAACCAGAGGACCTGGAGAAAAATCCACGTGACCACAGGGAGAGAGACGCACGCAAACTTCAAAATATACAGGCATCCGGATCGAACCCACGAACCTCCTTTATAGCAGGCGAGGTAGTTAACATCTCCTCGCCACCGCAGCGTCATGGTTCTGTCTCGGTGGCGGTCGCCCTCTTGGGCATGCCCCTTCCTTTGCTTTCGACTCCACCGCCAGTCTCGTCCATCGGCCACCACCCCGTCTAGTGACGTGTCCTGCCCAAGGCCGCTTCACTTAACCGTCGGTACGATGCCTCTGATTTGTGTTTGTTCCCATGGGTTTCCTCCTCCCGCCTCTGCCGCTGTAATTCAAAACATTTTTCTCCCCGTGCTCCTTTGCATACGTTGCAGATTTTGGTCCCATTTTCTTGTTGGCACTTTGCGTGATGCAATGATCAACGACGCTCCTTTGCAGGCACACTGGTGCGTGTTTTATTTCCACAACCAAATTATATTTTTTTGTTCAAAATCGCTACATCCTGATCTTGTTTGCCTCTTTATTTCGTAACTTTGACCCTAACCTGCCTTCAATCATTGTCCGAGGTGTACACGTTCCGCTTCGCGGGATTCAAATTCTCCGCTGGGAATCAAAGGTGGGGGTTTGATTATTTAAGAGCACTTCAGATAGAGTTGCTCAGCTGATGTTAAGGGTTCTCAAGTCACTACAAGGTAAACGTATGTCAAATATATGCCCCAGCAACAAACCATTGCAGCGTGTAATTAGTCCGCATGCATTGTTAATCTCGGCAAAGGCAACCTGTGTCTTAAAAATGGAGACTTCAATTAAAAATGTCAGAAAAAATAATTAGCGGTGACGGTGTCGCTGGAGAGGAGAGTGGTGAGACACAGGATCTATTCTAATTCAGCCAGCCGGCGCGTGAAGGTAACGCACACGTGCCTCAAATTAAATTAATCAGGAAAACGGGGTGTGGAGGAGCCAAAATATAGAAGCACTGAAACTCCGATTGACGTCTCCCCCTTTTTACGCCATTGACCATTATGAACACCGCTGTCTGATTCGCGGTTCCTCAAACCCACGCCCACGTCGCTGGCAACATCGTCCGCCCTTCCTCCGCCACCACCACCACCTACCCTGTACACGAAATGTGCCGGTATTTAGCTGATTTAATATATTTTCTTTATAGTGTACTGTATTCATCTTCTTGGTTCTTTCGGTAAAGTCACGTAGAAGGGAAATAATAAAATAATACAAATAAAACATAATAAAATAATTCTCACGACGTTTCGGCTACAACGCAAGCATATTTCCCTTCTACGTGACTTTATCGAAATAACCAAGAAGATGAATCCCTGCAGTCACGAAAGCTTTAAATCTAAAGTGTACTGTATCTTATCGCACCCTGCGTAATTTGTGTAAAAGTTGACCGCTGTACACTCGTGCTGAGCACAGTGTTGATAGTAGTTTAATGTAACGTCGTGGGTACGTCGAGGATGAAGGCGCGCGCGTGAACACAGCCCGTCACCCGCGTCACCTCCCTGGTCGCCGTTGATCTCCCGTGGACGAATTCGCTTTGGTCGACGTTGTTCCGACGATATTCCTCGTCGCGCCCTTCCGGAACGCACCCCCGACGAAAGAGGGGGTAGCTCTATCCTGGGAATATTCCACACTTGGCAAGGGACGCTGACTGGCCGCTCCGATGCCAGTAAACACGTCAACGTCGCCAACGCTGCTTACAGAAACACGCAGAAAGCAGTTGACGTTGAAAGTCGAGCTGAGGATGCAGGAGAATTCATCCTGAGAGACAGAGTAAAATCCCCGCAGAGACACATTAAACGACACGGATGTCACTGCTATGAGCGTTGAAATAACTGTCACAGTAGGAACCCGATACAGATTTTTGGAATAACCCTAAAAAATAAGAAAAATGCAAGGCCTAATGCGAA